AATAAAACCGCTTGTAGCTTCGTCCATAGAAGCGATAAGCAGATAAGGAAGACAGATTCGAAGCCAGCATTTTATACTGCATCGAATGATATACAGCTTGTTTGGTTTGGCTACTTCGACTTCTGACCATCCCCTTGTAAGCAAAAGAATGGAACGAAACCTTCTTTGCCTGTGATGTTAGAGTAATGCAATTCATCCACGATACGTACTCCTGGCATTTTATCCATATACTTATTTCTCTTATAGTCGTCGCTCTGCAGCAGCCCTTTGGAAAAATTCTAGACTGTACTTTGATTACTTTTACAACGACTTATAACATCAAATGACTGGAAGCATCTATATAGGCTTTTAGTCATTTGATGTACTGTAAATACGTAATAAAATACTTTGTAAATACTCAAAGCTGCAAAAGCTTCATACGCATCAGAACCATGAAAAGTATCATTCAAGAAGCAGCAGCGTTTTCAATCGATACGCTAACTTTGAGCGCTCATAACTCACCAACCACTGAAGATGGGTCGAAGAGAATGGAATAAAAAGAACAGGAAAAGCTCTTAAGTGAAAGTGCTCCTAGATTTTTGAATATCATTTATTTTTGGGACGAAATATGACCTTAGTAAGTACCTTTGACTTTTGGGACACAGATTCTTTCTACATAATAGGATCTGTGGAGAAATCAGCTGTTTTTTTGGAGCCAACGTTAGTGGCAAAAAGGAATTCCTGAGCGGGGAATCGAACCGGTTCTGGCAAGTAAGGGTCGCACCCCTTGGCCACCAGACCATGGAGACTACATTGCATCTGTAGTTCATGTGCGTCAATCGCCTATTTTTCATCAAACTCAAAGAAAGTGGTGATGCCTGGAGGGGGGGGGGAGGAGGGGGAAGGAGGGAAGGGGGTGCGGTGTACAGGCTGTCGCAACGAAAACGTGCGGTACAAAAAGTGCTACTAACGCTTGCTACTTTTTTTTATTACAGAGTGTCTGTGGAGAAATCAGCTGTTTTTGGAGCCAATGTTAGTGGCACAAAGGAATTCCTGAGCGGGGAATCGAATCCGGGGCTGAGAGCTAAAAATCCCTTAGCCACTAATTATGGAGATTACATTGCATCTGTAGTTTATGCGCGACAATCGCCTTTTTTTTATCAACTCAAAGAAAGTGGTGATGTGTGTGGGGGAGGGGGAGGGGAAAGGGGGGAAGGGGGTGCTGTGTCCAGGCTTTCACAAAAAGGGGCGGTACAAAAAGAAGTGCTACTAACGCTTGCTAATTTTTTATTATAGAGTGATCCGGAACAAACCTTCCCCACATACACTCAGATAATCGCCGGGGCAGGCGGTCCGCAAATTCGCGCTTTTCTGCAAGCGGTCAGCAGAATTTTGGGGCATGGCCAAACTTTTAGCAAGCGGTACTTCCTTTGCTGCCACATGTTCTGCCAGCGGGCAGCAATACAGAATTTTCTGCAGGCGCTCGTCAAGTAACTTCTTTCAGCGAGAGCTGGCCAAACTTTCAGCAAGCGCTCGAACTCTTTTAATGCAGTTTCGGGAGTACGCCGAGCAAAGGTAAGACTCTATATGGCAGAGGTGTCATCTTTGGTTTAATTACTCAAGTTTGGGGTATTTTCTCTCAGCGGAATATACTGGGGGCTGCGCGGTCCTCCACAAAGAACCGTGCGGCCCCCGAAAATTTTGCATATTTTCGCGAAAAGTCCGCGAGAATGCGGCCACTGCGCCGCAGTCAATCTATAAGGAAACCGTGACTGTTCTCCAAGCATTCTCTAAAATTTCGCTAAAATTCTTCCCAATATCTGCAAGCGGACCGCAAGAAATCTGCGAACAATTTTTCCGGTGCCCGCCAACCTATGAATCGCATGGCCGCCTGCCCCCGGCGATTATCTGAGCACTTCGGGACGGGGTACTACTTGTTGTTATCGACAGATAGCAGTGGGGTACCCAGGATTTCCGCTCGGGGGGGGGGGGGCCACAAAAATTTTATTCGAATGAAGGTGCGTGGCTAACGCCACGCACTCCGAAAAATTTTTAGGGGTGCTTCTAAAAATTTTTGCGGGTCCCCAACACCTAAAATCTGGAAAAAGGGGGCGTGGCGTCAGCCACGCCCCCGAAATTTTTTTTTACAAGGCTAATTTGAATTTTTAAAAATTTTTAAAAATTATTTTAATTATTTACAAGTATGCCCTTATAAGTAACTTTCAAAAATTTCGCGACCCATTCTCGGGGGGGGGGGGGCCCCCTCGGTGCGCCACTGACAGATAGTGATTATATTGGTTTTCTGCAAAGCATGAGCTGCGGGGCGGGAAGTTGTTACGGAGAGGTAAGCGAGAATGCTGATTATAATACAATGTTAGTTCCTAAGTATCCACATAAGGTTTTACTGATTTTTTTTTCAAATTTTGGGCCACGGGACCGGGAGTTGGTAAGATGGGTAAGTAATTGTGCCGATCACGATAACATGATGGGGAAGGGAGTTTAGCATATGGGGACCCGACGAGAAGCTTTACTTAACCTCCGGATTGAAAGTAACGAAAAAACTTCGATGAATAGTCGAAGTACAAAAAAGTCCTCTACACAAAAAGGAAGTCTCTAGTGCAAACGTTACTGCACTGAGGCCCCCGCCAGAGTGCCGAAGCCACGCCAGCGCCGAGCTGTCCATTTGTTCGGGGCGGGACTAGCTGACCCTGTGCAGGCAAGGGCTACCGGAGCTTCTGGCAGATTCGATCAATAATCGGTACATCTACCTGGCTGAGAACTAGGTCAGCTAGCCGCGCCCCAACATGCACGCGTATCGACCGAAACAGCGCCGGGGCAGCTCGGCGCTGGCTCGGCGCCGGCGCAGCGCTGGCGTGGCTTCCGCACTCTGGCGGGAGCCTGAGACACGCGTACAGTGAACGAGCCGGCTTACTTAAAATCACCGCGGAATACGTGACGGATGTGCAAGAACCGAAGATGCGAGTAGCAGAACTGAGATTTCAAAACTTTAACAGCATATTGCCTTCATTCTACCTTGTAACCTAAATTTTGACCAAATATTGAGAAATTACTGTCTTGCTAATCACAACGACCACTTCTTATGTATCACTTCTGCAAAATCGCCCTTTTGTTCCGCTTCTTCACCTTCGCCTAGTTGTTGCAAACTATGGAAGAGATGTTTGATTATGTTACACGGTCCATATATTGTGTTGCTGCGTAAGTTCTCGTTTTTTTTGCCTAATGTTTAAAGCACTTGTTCTAAGAGAATTTCATACTAATGCGGTATTGCTAGTATCATTAGAAAGTGCATTTCTTGCTCTTTCTAATGCATTTTTCGATAAATTTCTTAGTATAAGGAGATTTTAGGCTTGAAGACACCGTCCACCCTAAGGTGAGGGTGTTGAGCTTTTGGCAGCATATAACAGTAGGGCCTCCTATCAAGCCAATGCCCAAGTCGCGGCGCAAAATGCCGCTTCGGAAGCGAGAAAATCGCTTCGGAACAGCCAAGATGCACGAGGACCCCCATCCATGCCCGCCCCTCCCCATCCATGCCCGTCCATTTGTGCGCGCTCATCCAATCACCGTTGTGGAAAGCCGGCCTGTGAGTTCTCCGGAATGGGGATTTTCGGGATTTTCGCGGATTTTCGACTTCACATTTGGAATCAGGGACATGAGAAGGCTCTGAAACGACAAAACCTGGAAGTCGAGAATCTGGGTGGATGGTGACTTTAAAATCTCCAAGCGGCCGAGGTACTTTTTCACTTTGAAAATATGTTTTTGCGAGGAAATCTCCATAATGCGCCACTCAAGTCAAGTTCTTTCATTGGTTGCGGAATAAGGCTGTAGAAGGCTAATATATGCAGAAGCCTCAATTCTATGAAGAAAACGCCTTGCTAGTAAAATTCACTGTCGAACATTGATTGATTGCATAGCTGTTCTACAAACAATAACTTTCTGCGAATAGAAGTAATCGATGAGTTCAAAGTTGGGGGTGCTAGGGTGAAGCAAGAGCTAGAAAGGCCCATCCACCAATTCCTTTTCGCGCTCACATCAATTGTGAAATTTTCATAATTCGTAAATAGGCATGCACACATGCGCTTAAGAGAGGTCAAAAAGCGCCTTCTTCTTTGCTAGGTCAAGAAAATTTCTCGGCAACGCAGGCCCTATGGGCTCTTTTATGTTGCAAAATAATCTACGAAAGTTGCTCTACCCATTGTTAGGAAAATGCCTATCAATTCTCATAAGGGAGCATTGCCAGGTCAAAAAAGACAGGTTTAAAGAAAAACGTTGTTGAGTTTTCAAGTTCTTGCTCCTTCCTTAACAAGGATTTTCGCAGATGTCAATTGTGTCTAGCCAAGGAACTGCGCAACACACAGAAACTAAGATCTTAGAATAAAGCTGACTATGAAAGAAGTTATGACATTTTGAACTCAAAAAATTCAAATCGGACAGAACTTATGCAGCAACCTAATACTAATACTACACTTGGTTTAACATCATTACAACACTCTTCCGTAGCTCTAGTCAGAATATGCATTCTAACCTTAAAATGATCGGAGGACCTGCCGCTGCGGTTACAGAAGTAAGTATGTGCACCTAACCGGAGAGGATTTTGATAAGTGATGTGGAAAAAGAAGCATGGGTCAAAGAGAAAAACAATATCTCTTTAGATCCCTCTCATCATCAAATGCTATCCTTTCCAAAGCAAGGATCCAAAAAATTATCCAAAAAATTCAAGACCAGTGCTAATACCGCGCTTCGTTCGACGATCGCGCTCCAATCGCGAATCCAGCCGTTTGAGCGCAGTGTGGTTACCGTACGTTGGGGGGGGGGGGGGGGAGGGATTCAAACGACCTTCACTTTTCAGGATCTCTATTTAGACTATCGAAGGTGTGCTTGTGACCAGTGACAACAAAACTAGACACAGTGCTTCAAGTTAATTCCGAATATGTGTTCCTTTTGGAACAATTTAATTCAGTATCTTCATTTTATGAGTATGAGAAAACAAATTTCCAACTAACGTGGTTCGAGCTCATCCTCGGTCAACGGTGCGCGATTGAATGGATTCGTCTGACTGCTCAGCAAATGGCGTAAGATATGTTTTCGATCCATGATATGACCGGAGGGTAAACGAACAGGATCCTCCATGAGAGTGTCCATCACTGGATCTACAACAACAAAATTTTTTTAAGGACCCCCATGAACGCTGGGAGTTATAGCCATGCATAGCGAACCTTTAAATTCATCTGGTGCGTCTTCCAACTCCAACTCCTCTGCTGCCTTGTTATTATATAACGTTTCCACTTTCTCCGCCAAAGCGCGGAATCTTATTATAATTTGACAATAGTGAAGACAAATGCAGGAAAAACCAACTTATGACATTCATCTCACCTTTCTATCTGACTGATGGGCACAATGTTATTGCTGACAAGACGACGAATAACATCATTCATCATCTGTGGAGTGTACGATCTCTGAACGTATTAGAATGAGGAGCTGCTCAGTTCAATGTGCATAGCGTAGGCCAAGATTGGTAGGTGGATTTACTGGCTTACGTACGTTTCGGCGTCTTCGCCTTCTTCAGAGCCTGGAAACGTCGAAGAATTCTCTATCCTCTCAAATGCTTCGTTTTCACCACATCGGTACAACTCAACAGCCAACAGAGCCAAAACAAACGAAAAACCGCTAATAGGGTTAGCGCTCACCTTATGGCCTTGCGTATGAGAGGAAGCGACCACCGAGCAAAGCTGCGCCGCTAATGATAAGGATATGTTAGTCACTCCCAGGGTCAAGCAAGGGGTGTGGCACACGATCGCTGGTTACGACCCCCCCTGATTGCTGTCTTAATAAGACCCCCCCTGAACTATATACCTGAGATAGCATTTTACCAGAGTTGAGAAAGAGGTCAGGCACAAGTCTTTCGAAACCCCCCCCCCCTCCCCTCCCGTGAAAGCCCTCAAACGACCCCTTCTTCCTCCTCTTAACCTCTGGACCTCAAAGTGTGACATTTTGGAGGACACCATCTTTTTCTAGAGAGTTTTCAGATTTCTGAGAGCTGTACGCCCGATTTTCTGTGACTGCACTTTACAATCACACTTAATTTGACGGCTGATTTTGATCTGAATGAGCATATTGAAAGGGCCATAATTTTCTTATGGGTGGGGCGTTCGGCTCCAAATTTCCAATGTAGCAAGAAGAAGCTATGTGCTCAATACTCATACCAGCAATGGAGCGCTTTCTGGATGGCAAGTTAAGGGGGTGCGGCACACCCCCTTAAAAGCTGCGGCAGCCGCAGCTTTTAAGGGGGTATGCCGCACCCCATTAACTATATCAAAAAAACATTTTTAGCGGACAGTATTTATATGAATCGATAGCCTAAACCTTGTAGATTCCATAGGACTGTTTGGAGCCTGATTTGTCTTCTTAGCTCTAACAAGGGAAGGATAGTTGGATGCCGCGGCCATTCCTGATGATTTATATACCAAAAAATGCGCCTTCGAATGCAGATTCTGAATCTGTGCTCGAAATATGCGAAACGATCTTTTGAAGAAAGTTATGAACTTTTTTCCTTGAAAATTTATTTTCCTTGAAAATTTAGGCTACTTTTGGATAGTAAAAATCACCAGATTTGATCTAGCCTGCCGTTTGATGCTACTGAAGAAAATTTTAGACGTAGTAATATTTATTTAGACTATCTGGATCATACTCAGCATTTGGAAACGAAAGAAAATTTTTTATTGATGATTTTGACCCTCCGCAGGAACGCAATTTTTTTAATGAAAAAAAATCATAACTCCATTCAAATAATCGTTTCGCAGATATGAAAAACAGTCTACGAACCAGTATTCAAAAGCGCATTTTTTGGTATACAAATCATTATGATTGGCTACGGCATCCAAGTATCCTTCCCCTGTAAGTAATATTTGGTGAAAGCACAGCGATCAAAAGCGAAAAATGGGAAAAACGAGATTTTGGTTGGCTTATAACTCCACAGTTTGCAGGTCTTCTGAAGCGGGATTCCTGAGGTGGACAAAGAAGGAGTAGTGCTTTGTCTTGAGTGCAAAAACGGATAGCTAATTCACCTTTGAAACAAAGTTAACCATGTTGGAATTTGACCATTTCATTTAGTTAGCGTAGTATCTTGAATCTTCAGAATTCGCTCACACTTTGTCTACAGGGGTTGACTGACATGCTAATTATGGATATGATACGAATATCATGTTATCACTATTATCAGATTACCCAACTACGACCCCCTCCCCTCTTGACTCCTCAATACGACCCCCCAGGTGTGGCGTGCCGCACCCCACGCTTGACCCTGATCACTCCCCCACGCTTGACCCGACCCCGACCCGTAGATCAAAATCCACAAAGGGTCCGGAAGGGACCCTTTGTGGATTTTGGTTAGGTTGGCACCTACGGTCGCTATAACCTTCATGTTTAAGGTAGAGAGCCCTATTCTCCTGCGCAATTCCCTTTTATACTGTCGCTACATTGACGACTGCTGCATCGTGTGTCCTACACAGCATGAACTTGACACGTGTTTCGACATCCTCAACGCTCAATCGCCTAATATCAAGTTTACTCGCGAAAAGCCCAGCGAGCCTTCCTTGACGTTGAAGTGTATTTGGCTAATGGGGCGTATAGGACTAGATGGTTCCGAAAACCCAGTAACAAAAATATTCTAGTTCTTATTGTTCAGCACACTCACGCAGCATTAAGAGCTCCATCATCAGCAACATGTTAACTGCTAGAAAGGTTTCCTCGGGTCCACTATGTTAGGATTGTGACATCCCTCCAACCTCAAAAAGCAACTAATACGAAACCGCGCCTATGATGGCATCTGTACAGCTCCTGATTGCGTGATATGCCCATACGGTAGACCAGGAGATTGCATGAAGGCGGGCGTAGTCTACTTGATCACATGTCAATCATGTGGTGAAGAGTATGTAGGCGAAACAGGTCGAACTCTGTGCGTTCGCATCAAGGAGCATTTGGAAGGACTCGCAAAAGATAGATCAACACCACCCCCCCCCCCCTGAGTGCTCAGCAGGCTCTGTCATGAAAATACCACATTTGATACGGCGGTCACCATCTTATCGCATCTCGAAATCCAAAAATCAATAGAAAAGAAGAATGCATTGACATCACAAACGAGCTGGAGCCCTTCCGGACCCTTCGTGGATTTTGATCTAAGGGTCGGGGTCGAGTCAAGCGTGGGGGAGTGATTAACATATCAGTAACTTATCATTAGCGGCGCAGCTTTGCTCAGTGGTCGCTTCCTCTCATCCGCAAGGCTATAAGGTGAGTAACCCTACTAGCGGTTTTTCGTTTCTTTTGGCTCTGTTGGCTGTTGAGTTGTACCGATGTGGTGAAAACGAAGCATTTGAGAGGATAGACTGTGAATATCTTCGACGTTTCAGGCTCTGAAGAAGGCGGAGACGCTGAAACGTACGTTAGCCAATAGATGTACCTACCAATCTTGGCCTATGCTACATCAGCTGATAGAAGATTACACAGTGATGCCAAGGTTTATCGATGGCCGGACCTGGGATTCAATTAGTTCCCAAACTTGTATTTCGAAAGGAAATTTTATAATACCTAACTGGCATATACAGAGTGTCCCAAAAAAATGTGAACACTGTTTGATCGTTAATAACTCTCTTGCTTTCAAATCTTTCGCCGAGCTTGAGGAGCCATTTTGTAGAGCGAGGTTCATCTTAGATTTGCAGCATGGAAAGAATTTTCGATCTTTATTCGTTACTGTAGGATTACGGTACAAACCTTGAGAAGGATTTTAGGAAAGTGAAAGCGGTTTTTGCCTCAGGAAGAAAGCCAAAAAAGCTAGAAAGTTTTGTACTGGACTAATCGAAGTCGCCGATTCTGTACATGAAATTTGTACTTTACTGTGATGCTTCCTTCATGAGTTATTTTGTTTTGAGGTAACATTTGTTTTCCCAATGTCCATCAGAAGTCCGATTACACCATTAAAAGAGCTCAAAAACTGGTGAAAGGTTGTGTACTGGAATCAGCATGCCTAAAAACCTCACTAAACAAATTTCCAGATTTTTTAAAATTTTTTCCAATAAAAGGCCTATTCCACAGTGGCGCAATATGCTGAAAGTTTATACCGTAATTCTACAGTAACGAAGAAACTCGGAAATTCGTTCCATGCCGAGAATCTAAGTTGAACCTCGCTCTACAGAATGGCGCTTCAAGCTCGGCGAAAGACTTGAAAGCAAGAGAGTTATTAACGATCAAACAGTGTTCACATTTTTTTGGGACACCCTGTATTTGCCACTGTAATCCGCTTCAGACGCTGATTCCAAATATGTTGTTCCTAGCTGCTTAGCATTATTTTGGAACGAGTTATGAGCTTGCTGTTGTGAGTAATTAACAAACTTCTGAATGTAGTAAGACGGCGTATAAAAAGAATCTGCTCGAAAAAAGTGCTAGGATGTTGAACTAGCATCAGATTAATTCCTTCGATTTTGAAAGGGAGCAGCATACATTTGCAAAACCACCTGGACGTCGACACCGTCGCATCAGTAGCTCGAGAAGCATGCAAACTTTGCATAGAAAAGAGACCATAACTCGCTTTAGAATAATGCTAAGCAGCCAGGAGCAGCATATTTGGAATCAGCGTTCCAAGCTGATTCCAAATATATGTGTATCATCTCAGCAGGCAAATCTAAGTTAGTATCCTTTCCTTGTGAGAGGGGATGCGTCATATCTCGCTACTCTAGATGTCTTTCTTCTTTCTTCTCTATCTTACTTATGAAGCTTCTCATATCCTTATACTTGCGCATAATGGATGCCAGGTTACTGCCATACAAGAATGGTTTTTTGCCATTTTGTGTGATCCCTTGGGGGTCCCCTGGGAATCCCCAGGGGATCATCTCTCATTTTCAAAGTGGTTTATGTTCCAGGGATGTCAATGAAAACGCTGCAAAACTGTAGTGAGGATATACTATGGCACTGCTAAGCATGTTTTCGACAGGAAAAATGGATTCTAAAAATTGTGAATTTTTCAATAATCCCTAACTCGAGAGCAGTGGTTCATCGAAGATATCGATACCCTGAGATTTCACTTACTTCTGCTATAAACATGTTTAGCAGTGCTGTAGTATATCCTCAGTACAATTTTGCAGCGTTTTCATTGAAATCCCAGGAAAGATAAACCACTTTGAAAATGAGAGGTAATCCGCTGCGGATATCAGGAGATCCTCAAGGGATTACATAAAATGCCAAAAAACCATTGTTGTATGGCAGTAACCTGGCATCCTTCATGCACAGGTATAAGGGTATGAGAAGCTTCATAAGTAAGATAGAAAAGAAAGAAGAAAGACATCTAGTGTAGCGAGATATGACGCATCTCCTCTCAGATCCCCCCCCCCCCCCGTCCCAGCGGGGGTGTACGTGCATACGAGCCTAAAAAGTTGAAGAGTGCACAAGGACATCCATGGTCACGAAC